TAGGCCCTTCTGCAGGAAATAGTGACACTGTCCCGCCCCCCTCCCCCACCTTGCAGGAGTGTTTGGACGTGCCCACGTGTGGCGTCCTGAGTGATGCTCCTCTGTGTGCCTTTATGTGGATGCAGTGCTGGCTTTCCATGTAAACGGAGCTGTTGATAAAGGTGGATTGTTTTACAAATTGGTTTTTCTCCTTAATACTGTATCCGGGCAGCATTCCAGAGAAGGCTGGGGTAGATCATCCCCTAAAGCCTTTCTACGACCTAAGAAGGCAAGCAAGATGGTTTTTAATTCAGTGTCTGTTCTTATATCCCATGACTTCACATTTTGTTGTGGTCCACTTGGCCTGCTGATCTTCTGCCATGTGGGAAAAGGCTGTGGGAGTACCTTTCTGCCTCCTCCAGGTTCCCCTTGGAGTTATCCTGTGCATGTGGCCTCCCCACCACCCCGAGAGCTCTTTGGGGTCAGGACTCATGCTTTTCTCAACTTCGTGTCCCCAGGGGACGGGGCTGCCCCTTGTAGGGAGGTGTTGTGGCTGATGTAGGGAAGAAGGGGCCGAATGCAGTTCCAGAACACTGTGACACATGCTGGTGTTAATTCAGTTCTTAATTACATGAAGAAGCTAAAAGACAGAATCAGGCTCGATTTCAGATGGAAGCAAGTTTGTTTAAATTTCATTATTTTTAGTTATGTGTTTGCAAAAATGTCACCTTAGAAAGTCCCCGCAGTGGCCTATCTCTGTCATGGCTCCCAGGGGCCAGCCGGTCCCTCCTGGCTGGGAGGAAGCTGAGGTTCTATACCTCTCCCCTTGCCCTCACCACAGTGCAGGGGTGCCCTGTGAATCACCCACCTCCTGGCATCCAGCTGCTTCGAGGCAGCTTGGGCATGTCTTCGTGGCTCGTGGCTCAGAAAGAAATCTCTAAGCCCAGATATCCCAAGGCCTGACAGCTCTTGCTGTCACCCCTGAGGGGCTGTCCCTCAGGGCCACAGCCACGGCTGCCATTTCATTAGGCCCCGCCCTCCATTGATTGGCGTCTGGTTCTGTCTTCCTACTCTGCCTTCACCTGTGTACTGATCATTTTTTCCTGTGAATTGTGTTTCTTCCTTTGAACCTTGGGATTGCTCGGAATTACTGTCTGTGTTTTCCTTTCTCATTTGTGATCTTACCTGAAAATTCTTTCTTTCCATTGGTGTCATGCTGTCCTTGCTGCCCTCCTCTGGAGTGACGCACGTTTTGGAGATAAAGCTGACCTCCTTGTGGTTTGGTTTGGCCGGCGGTGACAATCCCGATGCTAGTTGATGCAGGCCCAAGCCACGAGGCTTCCTGGTCGTGCCTCGCTCCCGTGCCTCCCTTCTCAGTCTCCCTCCCTCCTGGCCCCATGGGTGGCAGCGTGCCTGGTGGACAGTGTGGACTTTTGGAGTTGGATGGCCCTAAATGAAAATGTGTCAGGGCCGTTGGCCATCTCGGAGTCTTGATTCAGAGCCCGTTCTCACCCCACAGTGGACTCTCGCTAGTCCTTGGGGCAGATGGTTTCCTAGATCAGCATCTGACGGGTGGAAGCCTAGCGCAGCCTGCTGATCTTGCCTGCATTTCTGTCTGGGCCACACACCCTGGGACGGGGCTCCTCTGGGTGGTCTTGGACCTTCCCAGGCTGTCTCCCAGGGGCCAGACACACCAGCCCGGGAGGATTTTCTGCAGCTCTTCCTGGCCCTGACCCTGCTATCACAGCCTGGAGTCCAGAGTCTCCTGTGTCACTCTGTGTGCCTTTGCCAAAGTGGGGGATGCTTCCTCTGGCGGGGAGTATTTATCTCATTCTAACAATAAGGGTAATTCCAATTCTCTTGGCGTTTAGAAGACAGATGACCTTGGGGGCTGAGTTAATGCCATTACTTCATTACCTTGAAGAGTAACAAATGGCCCATTGTGAGAAATGACGCCTAGAATAGGCCACTGACATTTCCTCAGATAAAATAACAAGCCAACTAAACAGACCAAGAGAGCGAGGCCCCTGCCTGGTGCACGCAGCGCCTGGCTCTGTGAGTCACAGCTGCGACAGCCTAGCTTCGTCTGTGCACTTGAGGAGAGGCTGCTGAGGTCTGCGAGGCTTTAGCTCCCTGCTTACTCTCATTATATCTGAGGAAATGTCTCCATGCTTGGGAGGCCCTTGAAGGAGGGTACGTCGACGGGAAGCTTCTCAAAGCAAGCCCGCTGATTACTGTGGCTGATTCAGTTCCCTGAGACGGGGAAATAAAATCAGACATTCTGCTCCAGGTCAGCAGAATGTTGCGTTGATTCTGCTGAAACCGTTTTCCCAGGGAGGAAGTGGTGTCCTGGGGAGGCCACTCACACTCCTGTCTTGCGCCTGGCTTTTGCTGCTGCTCCTTCCCGTAGGAAAAGCATTACGAGGGGGCTGGACTTGGCTCCAGGCTGCTTACTCCACCCCTGCCTTCCAAAGCACACTGATAAGTGCGTGGAGGCCTTGTTTCTGCATCTGTGAAGTGGCAGAGGTAACACCTCCCACCTTGGGCTGCCGTGGGAAATGGGAGACAGGGCCTTTCCCGGGGAGATCCTGTGGGGTTTCATCAGAGGGTGCGCTCAGATCAACCTGGGCTCCGGGGCCAGCAGAGTTCTGAGGCCAGACACCTTGCCAGGTGCTGGAGGGAGAGTCTGCAGCCCCACAGGGGGCCAGTGTGTAGACAGAGCCACCAGGAGAGTGCAGGTGTCATGGACACGCCAGGCTGGGAGGAGGGTCGGGACAGAGGAGGGTCGTGGCCAACCAGCAGCACTTGTCATTCTAGCCCCACATTCGAGGGAAGGGGTACAGGGCCCTGCCTTCCAGTCCCTGGCTTGGTGAAAACTCATCCAAGAGAGTGAGGGCCTGGGTGCGCCCTGTATGCTGTGGACAACGGCATCCTTCACAAGCCTGGGTCCCGGGAGGGGCCCATCCATCTCTCCACACCACCTGAGTGACTCTGACACCCAGCACTGAGGTGTCCAATCTTTAAAGTCACTTGTTCTCCCCTTTAATTCATGAGCTTCCCGAAGGCATCAGGTCTGTCACTCATGTCTGTGCCTGGTGTATAGGGACAGATCCCACACAGGGGACCGGCTCTCTGTGTCCACGTTACCCTCCCTGCCCTGGCCGGTGTAGACAGCCCAGGGCTGACCAGCCGAGGAATGCAGGGGCTCCACGTGGCCTGGCTGTAGGGCATGCCACTCAGTTGTGAAGAGGAGTGGGGCACTGACACCGCCTCCTGCAGGGATGACTCTTGAGGACGTTGTGCTCAGTGAGAAGGAGCCAGTCATGGAGGGCCTCAGAGCCTGATGCCAGCGGTGTGAAACGTCCAGAATAGTCAGCTCCGTAGAGACAGAGGCAGGTTAGTGGTTGCCAGGTGAGGGGTGGGAAGTGGGGCACGACTGCTGAAGTTTCTTTCCGTGGTGACAGAAATGCTTTGGAACTAGTGTGATACCTGTGAAGCCTTGGGACCCTCTGAAGACCACTGCATTGTACATGCTACAGAGTGGATTTCATGGTGGATGAATTACCTCTCAGTTTACACAACCCTGAACCAAATCAAGGCAATACCCATGGAGGGACTGAGGATCCAGTCCACCTCCCCAGAGAGGAGTGACATGCGAACTGGCTGGAATCCATCCACCCTCCTGCGTTCCCGCAGGCCCTGCCATGTTGGATGTGTCCAGGGCTGTCACTTCCCTGTCCAGGCCCTCAAGCGCCCAGCGGCTCACTCCTGCTGGAGGGTCAGACAGGGAGGCAGTCTTCCCCTTTTATCCTGCTGGTTCTGGGGTGAACCAAGAATCGTGGGGTGGCATGTCATCTCGGCTCTCCCAGTGATGGGCGGGGCTGCGACTGAGGAACCAGTGTGATGTAGGATTGTACGCAGCACGAACGTGAGGTGGGCCTCTGAGTCCTTGTGGAGCAGGTAGGGACCTTGGTTCAGGGACCAGTAGGTGGGGCTGCCTCTGTACCCTTCTCCCCACGTGTATCAGGCTGCTCCAGATAGCCACGGCCCTGCCCCCATTACCCCACTGTTGGTGGCTCAGGTGGTGATGGCAGAGTGGTGACGGAGCTGAAAGCACGCAGGCTCACAGTGCGCAGGAGACGGCCTGGCGCCTCGGCAGCCTGCGGTCAGCACCAGCAGTGTTCTCTCCCTTCTCACTGTTGTAACTTTATCTACTTAAACCTTTCTAAATATATTCGGGGCTGAAATGTTTCTTTTCTTAAGGAACATTTTCCTTGCGAAGACGCCATGCAAATGAAACTGAAGTGAAAAGCATTTGTAGGGTAGATAATTTTAAACATTTATGAGTATTTTGCTGGATGACAGCGGTTCTGTAAGGATCTAAAATTAGTTTGTTCAAGTATCTGATGAGCCATTTCAATTAGGCATCTGCTTTGCATTTTAAAAACGTTTAGATTCTGTTTTCTCCTTTTTTTATACTTCAAGAAGGAAATTATTTAGAGCACCATTGTCTGTGCTTTCTTGGACGCACATCTGCGTACGGCTCCCTGGGGTTTTTGGTCATAGCATGGAAGTATTACCCTGTGTAGTTTTGGAAACTCTTAACTTTGGGAAAAGGTTTTTAGAGGAGTTATTGCCAGTTAAATTTGTAAATATATCCGAAGCAGAGTTTTCAAAATCTTATGAAAAACCTTGCAGATCTCTGTGAGGATTAAGTAATATATTCTGTTTTCTCTCTTATTAGGATGTGAAATGCCTGAGAAGCAATAATTTATAATATATTAATTATGTTAATTAATTGGAGAGGATTCAGAATATTAATTATCTGCAACTAATTAGGCGTTAAGATTGAGGAGCGGTAAGTGATGAGGTGGAAGACTGCACGAGTCATTTAGCTAGACTGATGAGGGCGGGTGGAGGGAGCTGGGTGTGGGCGCCGCTCTGGCTCCGTGGGCCTTCTCGTGGGTCGTGGTCCCATGTGGCTAAGTCTCCTTGTCTTTTGCATGCTCGGTGCCGCCCAGAGGCAGAGGAGGTGGACGCAGTGGATGTCTCCGGCGTGCCCGCAGAGGTGCTGCGTAACATTGAAGCCGACACCTACTGGTGCATGAGCAAGCTACTGGACGGCATTCAGGTGAGCGCCCCAGCTGCCCGCGGGGATCCGGCCCACGCCCACAGCTCCCGCGGTGAAGAGAGCCTGGTGCCTGGGCTGCTGCTGAGTCTCAGCCTGGCCGTGCAGTCTCTTCTGAAGCCTCACTTTGCTACATCTGGACCAGCACAGACCCCTCAGGGTTGGCCAAGTGTGAGAAACAGTGTGTGTGCCCTTGTTCTGGGAATGGTCAACATGTCCTGCTGAGCGCGCCGCAGGAAGGCGAGGTGCAGAGTCTCATCCCCTCTACCCAGCTGCCTGCAGACCATTGCCACCACCGCCACCAAATGGGACAGCTCACGGTCGCTGCATGTGTGTGGCCAGCTGTGCTCAGCGGGATTCCCGCTTAAATGGTCTCAGATCGGGGGCCGCAGCTTCTGGTCTTTAACACCAGGCTCTCATCCTGTGGCTGGGGCTCCAGGTGTGTGGGACGTTGCAGCCGTGAGCTCTCCTCCTGTGGACAGGGCTCCAGGTGCCTGGGACGTTGCAGCCGTGAGCTCTCCTCCTGTGGCTGGGGCTCCAGGTGTGTGGGATGTTGCAGCCGTGAGCTCTCCTCCTGTGGACAGGGCTCCAGGTGCCTGGGATGCTTCAGCCGTGCCTGTCCCCAGAGAGCAACATGAGCTGGTGGGGTCCCCTGCACCACAGCGGGGACTCCGTGGGTCTCTGTGTCAGCTTGGGTTAGTGGCTGAGATTTCTGTACAAGAGCCACAGGTCTCCCAATGACAGGGCTGATCCTATTGAATGGTGTCGGGGCAGAATCGCACAGAGTGCCTGGGAACGGCCTTGTTGGTAGGTGGTCAGGAATGAGGACTGAAACCAGCTGATACTACAGAGGAATGGCTGAGGGGTGTGGGCAGGCCCCCAAGTGGGTGGGGGGCACCTTAGTTTGTTTAAGGCTAGCACATCTTTCTAGACACCTGCTTCCTGGGAGGTGCTGTGCTCCACACCCAGGAATAGTGGCGAGTAAGGGTGAGGCTCCGGAAGCCCACTGGGGAGGGAGGGTAGACGGGTAGGTAAGGCATGAGGGGACAGACACTTGAGCCAAAGGTGGGAAAGAGTGGATTTCAGGGGACAGTGAATTTGCTGACAAAGCAGGACTTGCAGACAGAGGAGGGTCAAAGGCAGAGGACAGTTTGGGTTGATGATCGTTTCCTGAGGGACCAAATGCCAAGGCCATCATGGGTCTTTGCAGGTAGGCGACCCTCTGCCAAGAGCTGGGGCCTCCCGGGAGCGTCTCCGTGTTCTGCCAGCATCCCTGTTATCCCAGCTAAAAGGGGGGCCCTCAACTGAGAGACACACAGACGTGCTTGTACGTCTCTTGTCACCTACGTCGCCTGCAGGACTTGGCTCTTCCTGAGCCACTGGTGAAGTTTGTTCCTGATGCTGCCAAGTGAAGAGGTCTCAGCTGATCCACGTGATCTGAAATTGTCTAGTACGGCTTTTGTAAATGAGGTCTCAGGTTTAGACTCCAAGTTTAATTTGAACATTTTAGCTAAAAGGTTCTGTTGAGGAGAGATGTGTGGTTTGCTGTTAGATTTTGAAAGTAGAAGCCTGCTGTGCGGTTGGAGACTGGAGGCCTGGTATCCGTTGGCTGATCCTGACTCTTCATGACTGACTTTGTTCCTTGTAAAGAAAAATACACCCGCTGGAGACATATTTTGGCCCAAGCACCAATTTATCATTTCCTCTGCTTTGCTAATATTTTCATACATTTTATTCTTTCTGCTAGACCTTTTGGCTTTTTGCCCCCTTAGAAAAAGGATTGAATCATAATGTAAAACTTTATGAATTTCAAATGTCACTCTTCTGATCGTGAGTGATGGAACTTGTGCCATTTAAATACAAGATTATCTGGCCTCTGTTTGTAAATAGAATCCGCTGTACAATGGAATCGATGCTGGCTTTTCATTTTTCACCTGAGATTTGTGGTCTGATGAAATGGTTTATTGGCAGGCCTGGCAGGTGGAGGGGATCATGCTTTCCCGGCGTGGGTGTTTATGGTGCATCGTGGGCCCCTGGCAGCCATTTATCTTTCTCTCACATGCCACGATGGATTCCGCGTGATCCTCTCAGGAGCAAGAGTTGGGTGATGTCCCACCGTCCAGGGCCCTCGCAGCTCGGCTGTGATCCCCGTAGGTAGGGCCGCCTAGCAGAGCTGCTCTTGGGGACCGTAGTGTTTACAAGCGCTGCCGCTGTGTTAAGTTCAGACAAGTGTGAGGACGTGTACTCACTTAAAACCAAGGCAACACGCGGGCCGCCGTGTCAGCTCCCGGGGGCCTGGCCGCTTCTGCCTCTCAGCTCTCCTCCCTGCTCTTGGTCTTACTGCGTTTCATCCTTGGAACTGCTAAAACAGTCTTCCTCAAGCACCCTTTCATTGTATCACTGCCCTGACTGAAACCCCTGGGAAAGCTCTCTCTTGGTCTTCGGAAGTGCAGGCTCTCAGCGTGGCCTCTGCCCATCGTTCCTAGTGTCCTGTCAAGGCCATGCTGATTCAAATCAGCCCTGTGGCCATCCTCGCCATTGCTGCAGACTGTAGTGGAGCCGCTGGACCAGAGCCATGCGCCTGGGGCTTTTCCTCACCAGGAGGAGAATCTTAAAGGGCCTCTTGGGAGGTCGTCACCCTGGGAATGAGTGTGAGGAACTAACACTGTCCCCACCGTGACAGTGGTTCTTGGCAGGGGCATTCTCAGAACAGGCTGGGGTTTGGTTACACCCTGCACACAAGAGATGAAGCCCATTGCCCAGGCGACATGCTTGTTCTAGAACCCAAGTTGGCTACTCTGTGTTCTTTCCAAGCTGAAATACAGAACTGAGTTCCATTTGCAGGAGAAGTTCTAGAGGGTAGAAGCCACATCTGTCTATTTTTTTTAACCCCTGGATATTCTGGATGCTCATAATAACTACGTTTTTGGTTCACCTTGGAGCCTCAGTTTGAGATTCTGTATTCTACTTGTTTTCAGTAATTGGTCGTTTTTGCCAGAATGTGTGAAGCACCTGCTTTGTACAGGTGCTCAGGGAGGTGGAAGACTTTGGGTGTGTGAGTCAGCATGAATCTGCTGTCCCCAAGAAGCTCAGAGCCTGGTGGGATGGAGCAGGGGGAGAGGACAGCTGATGGAGGCGAAGACAGAGTGCTGGGAGAGGAGGCTCTCAGGCTCAGGAAGACGGCACACTAGGAAAAAGAACAAACCACTGACAACTGCCTGGAAATGTTAGGCGATTGAACTCGTCTGTTCTTACACTGCTTCAAGAAGTACTGAGACTGGGTCATTTTTAGAGAAAGACGTTTAATTGGCTCATTGTTCTACAGGAATGATAGTGGAGGAGGCTTCTGGAAACTTTCTTTTTGATTTGAGACAGGGTCTTGCTCTGTTGCCCCGACTAGAGTGCAGTGGTGTGATCTTGGCTCACTGCAACCTCTATCTCCCAGGTTCAAGTGATTCTCCAGCCTCAGCCTCCTGAGTAGCTGGGATTACAGGCATGTGCCGCCATGCTCGGCTAATTTTTTGTATTTTTAGTAGAGACGGGGTTTCACCGTGTTAACCAGGATGGTCTCAATCTACTGACCTCGTGATCCACCCACCTCGGCCTCCCAAAGTGTTGGGATTACAGGCATGAGCCACTGTGTCCAGCCCGGAAACTTAATCATGGCAGAAGGTGAAGGGGACGCCGGACATCTTACATGGCCAGAGCAGGAGGGTGAGGGGCAGGGGGAGGTGCCACACGCTTTTAAACAACCAGGTCTCAGGAGAACTCATGGTGCAACACTAGCGGGGATGGGGCTAACCCATTAGAAACCGCCCCCATGATCCGGCCACATCCAGCCAGGCCCCGCCTTTAGCACTGGGGATTACAGCTGAACCTGAGATTTGGGTGGGGACACAGATCCAAACCGTATCAGCAGTATTGAACCAAGACTGTCTAACGCACACTGTGAAACTCCTTAACAGCAGAGAGGTCCTCCAGGAGCGAAGAGCACCGGCTCCGCTGGCGGATGCTAGTGAATTGGAGGGAACTGTCCGACCAGCTCATGGCTAGGAGTTCAGGCCCTCCTGCCCTGGCGAGATGTGGTCACAGAAGCTGGTCCTGTGCAGGGAGATCAGGTGCTGCCCAGAGCTCTGCCCAGGGCCCGTGTGCCTTGGGACTCTGCACTCCAAACATTGTGGAAGAATTCGAAGAGCTTTTGTTTGCGTGGGTTAATTCTCTTGATAACGGCCGTGTTAGAAATTAAAATAGAGGAAATTGAAAATATTTAGTAACTTATTTAAAAACAGCCATGGAAAACCCATTACATGTTATTATAAGTAACATTTTTATGGTAAAGTACCATTTTTCAAAACAAAACGTTTAGTGAGAAGAAAGACATTGTTTCACGTTCTTGCAAATCTCCTTAGTGTCTAACTTAACAGAAGAATTCTATTTCTACCTCTGCATTCAGTTTGTCGTGCTGTTTTTTGTTTTGGCTGAAGAATGTGAAGAAAAGCCAGCATCACATAGATACTAGCTGGAAGAGGGAGTGCTTCTTTGTTCTGGTTTTTTTTTTTTTTTTTGAGATGGAGTCTCACTTTGTTGCCCAGGCTGGAGTGCAATGGCTCGATCTCGCCTCACTAGAGCCTCTGCCTCCCAGGTTCAAGCGATTCTCCCACCTCAGCCTCCCGAGTAGCTGGAATTACAGGCACCTGCCACCACGCCTGGCTAATTTTCGTATTTTTGCTAGAGACAGAGCTTCACCATGTTGGCCAAGCTGGTCTTGAACTCCTGACCTCAAGTGATCTGCCCACCTCAGCCTCCTAAAGTGCTGGGATTACAGGTGTGCTCCAGGAAGTGTTGTAATAGCCTTTTCAGGTAATTTTGGATTCTTTTTTTGTTCATACTATACTATTATTCAACACATGATAGTTTCTTAAAGGTTAGTTGTGATATGAAATCTGAAACCTCATCAGTGAATGTTTTGTACTCAATGACATTAAAATTGATGGCTTGTCTCA